TGAAGCGAAAATTTCATCTGAATCTCAGCAACAGGACATGCAGCTGAGTGAATCACAGGTAAGGACGTTTGTCAGTTTTTATATGTTCGCTAATAACACTTATTTTTTACGTTTCGCACAAATTTTATCAGGTAATTAGAGATTTTTTAAGTATTTTTATGATGATCGCCTTTTCTTCTGTACTAGCCACAATTCCCAACAAGGTAGAAATGCAAAAAAAAAAAGATGCAAATGCAGTACGTCCCGGGTAAATAATTGGTTTGAACAGTGGTAATGGTAAGAAATGTATACTATGACTTAATGGATCGAAACATTTCTTACCATTAAAAAATTTTTCAGCATTTTATTAGTTCTTTTTTAACATAAAGATAACTTATTTTATTTTTCTTGTTTGAATAGATTTTTGCATAAAAAAGAACAGAAAATGTTAGTAAAATGAAAGAAATCCGGAATAGTTAACGGAATTCATGAGAACACTTCTTTTTCACAATATAAACAAGTTTCATGCGCATTATTTGCAAGAGAACCGAAGTGATTTAAATAAATAAAACCGAAATAAATAAAAAAAGAATAAGTAAGTAAACAAATAAAATAAATAAATAAAAGAACCGAAATAAATAAAAAAAGAACCGAAATCATTTTGCTCGTTACGCGTTAGCGATATTTCCGATATGAATATTGATTGTAGGTGAAGGAATATTATGCACTGAAGGGTGAAGCAACAAAACGTTGCGGTGTATTGGATATGGAGTTGAACAAATTACTACAGGAACAGGAAACCGACAAAAATAATGCACAATTTGAGCAAAGACATTTAAATGATGGAGAAGAAAAAAAGAAAAATGTAGGCTTTTTTCTTGCAAAAATACGTGTTTTTTTCTGGTGGTACCCTCCGTTTTGGATCAGCGCCCTTTTATGTGTTTTCAAAAATTCAACATGAAACGCTGGCAGGTATTATAAAACAGCCTTTATGAGCATTATTAATGGAAAGAAGTTCACTATTAGTAGTTTATTAATTTTTTTTTTAAAAAAGCCGCCTCGAATTAAGATATATGTACCCGGAGGAAGAGGGGGGAGGGAAGAGACGGGGAGGGTGGGGGGAGGGGAGGGGAATGAGGAAAAATTACGCGATTTTCGGTCCTCCTAAGAAAGGCATAAAAATAAGTTGTTGTGGGTATTTTCAGAAAGAACAGGAAATCGAGCGTCTCAATCGACAAGCCGAAAAACTTGGTAAAATTATCGTCGAGCAAACAAGTCTGATTGAACAAGATAAGGAAAAACTGCAAATGCTAGAAGTGCAGGTTTGTTTTTTTTTTGTCTAAAAACTGCCAAATATCTTAGTGATGTGTCTCAGGATACTTCCAGAAGTTGGCCCCATTAGTTATGCCAGCTGCTTCCGTCCTGGGCTGCATACCTCCAGTTAGTACCCATCTCTTGTTTTATGTGTGCTTTTACCAGTGATCGTTTACTTTCTCGATGTATTTTTACGATTTTAAATTGTAAAATTTTGCTGAGATCTCATGAAGGGATCTACAGCGCTTTTTATGGGTGGAAAATTTAATAGCTTATGATTTTTCCTTTTTTTGTTTGTGAACGTTTTTTGCATTTTTTTTCCACAATTTTCTGAGACTTGCATGATTGTTCCATTTTTTTATTAGACCCTTTTTTAACCTTTTTTTCCCCGCTTTTTGCGGTTTTCTGAATTTGCTGGGTTTTTCTGACTTCTTTCAAAAAGTTATTACATTTTTTGGCACATATTTGAAAATCTTTCCAGTTTCTACAATTCTTTCACGTATATTTTGCATTCTTAGCACGCTTTTTACATTTTCTGCAAACTTTTTTCTGAATATGAAAAATTACAAATTTTCTAAGCATGAAAATCCGACATAAAATAAAAAAATCATAAAATCAGAAAAAATCACGATTTTTTATATTCTGTCCCTGCATGACTTTATCGTTTCCATCAGTTTTTTCCAAACGCCTGGGGCTACTTATCCAAAGCCATGATGCACATTGATGTATTTCTTAATATATAGGCGGTCAGTTCAGGTGCGCGAATCAAAAGAACGCCTGGAAAAGGTGACAGCTGAAGTACAAAATGTTTCGAAGGAGCTATCAGATGCGCATGGTGATACTGCGGAATCGGAA